TGTGGACTGGCAGCCGGGGGACAGGCGGGCAGGAGAGCCAGCGACACTGCTCTTCGTGTCTGTCTTCTTCCTGTGCTTCCGGGAGGCGCTCCGATTCCGCTGCCGTTCGCCAGCCAGTTCCTCATGACTGTTCACTGCAGTCCGAACAGAGTTGGCATTTTATCCCCTAGCATGCTTCTAGGACGCTGTTGCAGCACCTGCCTCAGCCTCAGCGGGGCTCACTTTCCATCTCAATGTGTGTGTGTGTGTGTGTGTGTGTTTTACAGCCTCTCGACAGTCAGATGCCACAGGGCCCGTCACAGCCAATAAACCCTCATCGCTGGGGAGCTTCTACCACCTTCCTTCCTACCTCAGGCTGCACGACGTCCTGAAGGCCACGCACGCCAACTACAAGGTACGCGGCTCTGCACCTGCGCCTGCCCAGTGCCTCCTGGGCGCGCTCCCTCTTCTTGCAGGATTATCTTTAGGTAAATGGAAAACCATCTCAGTGTTACTGAGACACAGTTTATCTGTGACATAACATTTTTTAAAAATATGTTTTTGTTGACTTTTTTTTTAAAGAGAGAGGAAGGAAGAGGGATAGCTAGAAACATCCATGAGGCAGAAACATCATGAATCAGCTGCCTCCTGCACGTCCCCTACTGGGGATCGAGCCCACAACCCAGGCATGTTGCCTGACTGGGTATCAGACTGTGACCTCCTGGTCCTGGGTCGACGCTCAGCCACTAGCCACACCGGGGTTCTTGATTTCTTCGGGTTGGTAGCTGTGTGCATACCTGGGGATGTGAGTGACAGTTAGTGTTCTCAGGTTGGCTCGGCCTCTAGCGGTAGCTTCCAGCCCTCGGTCTTCACGTTCTCACCCCCGTGACCCTGCCCCATTGCCTGCTGGGATTGACTGCTTCCCACCCTCTCCCCGACGGAGCTGCATAGACCTCTCACTCTGGGTGCTCACACACCTGGCGGTTCCCTCCTGGCGGGTGGACGACACCCTCAGGGTGACAGGAGAGTGTCACTGTCGTTCCCACTACGTCTTCGTCCCGTGTGTCCCTGACCTGGTTCCTCTCTCACTGGGGCCGTCAGTTCGTCCCACTGAGCTGCTTTCTGTTCACCGCGCACGTTTGAGGGTTGGGCCAGCTCCTGTTTCCACGCCCATTTCTTCCCTTTGACCTTGTTCTTGCCCATCGTACCCTGGGGCCTGACCATTCTTTCGGTTTTTAAATGGGGGACCGACTGCTGCATTATTTAATTCGGCCGAGGCCTTTAGAGCCTGAATTCAGTGCCTCCTAAGACTAATTTCACGTGTGTTGTTGCCAGGCTGAACGGTGGGTGGGTCTAAACTCGATGAGCCCCCCAGGGATGCTAGTTCATGGAACAGGGCGTGCACGTTATGAGTGTGGAATGCGGCTTGTCAGACACTGGTTATGAGCGATGGTTCCCATCTTTCCCATTTTGACAGGTCAGGAGTCATTTCTGTCTGTAGAGTTAGTATACGTAGGAAGATGCCTTTGAAAGAAACAGGTTTCCTGCAGATACTGGAAGAGCGATTTCCTTTCCCAGGCCTTTCCCTGCCAGACAGACAGGCAGGCAGGACCCCCACTGGCGTGCGTGGGGCTGCTTGGTGTGCGCCGCCCCTGCTGCAGACACCCCGACGTGACGGTGCAGTGATGGTTTCTCCCTTCCCCCAAGGTCACCCTGGACCTTCAGAACAGCACGGAGAAGTTCGGGGGCTTTCTGCGCTCGGCCTTGGACGTGCTCTCTCAGATCCTAGAGCTGGCCACGCTGCAGGACATCGGGAAGGTGCAATGTCTTTTCTTCTCGCTGAGCCGCAGCTACCACACCGCGGCCCCTGGGCCGAGTGCTGGTGTGGGCCTGGCACCTGGGGCGGCAGCGGCAGCCGGGGAGGCTTTGTCACAGCGCCTGGCTCTGAGCTGTGCTGGCCCCTGGCTGGTGGGGTGTCACAGGAGCCCATCTCAGTTATGCACTGTCTGTCGGCTTTGAGCCACTGCACTCTAGAACTGGGTGGGTTTAACACTGTGTTGGCCCAGCCTTCATCTTCTTACTTGACCTTCGCAGTGGGAAGGGCACACACAGACCTAGGAGGCGCACGGCTGCCCGGGCGCCTCAGGAGCAGCGGAGCCGCAGGAGGACTTGGTTCCGAGTCCAGCGGCCCCCCCGCCCCCCCATTCTCTAAGGAAACATTCAGACACAGAGGAGAGTTTAGAGAGCGTGTGGTGCCCGCCCGCTGCAGACGGCGTGCTGCGGGGGCCACGTCATATTTTGAGCCTGAGTTCCAGGTGTCGGGCCAGGGAACATGCGGCCCTTCGGGGAAGCACCGGCTCTAACCGAGTTCACCAAACCTTTTCTCCACGTCCATAGTCACCGGCCTTCACCGTCACACAGCCGCCCTGTGCTCCCCGTCACGCCTGTGCCTTTGCCCGTGCGTGCGGCCCTTGTTTCTAGTGGCAGGCGCCTCTGTGTTCTGGTCTGGGGGTGCTCAGTGATTGCCCTTCAGAGTGAAACCTGCCAGAGGTGGGGCGTCCCATTCCGGGAGACCTGCCTGGCGCCCTGTCTATGATGGCCCCTCTCCACACCCTCTCCTCCTCCCTGTTCCCCCCTCCCAGGCGCAGCTCCTGCAGACACCGTCACTCCTGTGGCCTCTTGGTCTTCGGTGCCTGCAGTGGGGCCTGGGCGGTGGTGGCTGCCAGTGGGCGCGGGGTCAGTGAGTGGCGGGCGTTGTAGCTGGGAGTGGTCTGAGGGCTGCAGGCTGGGCGTGTGCGGGAGGGCTGTTGGTGAAGGTGACGGCAGCACCTCACAGTGTGAAAGGGGCTCTCAGCGGGGACCCCGTGTCTGCATCCCCCCACCCGCCACCATCTTTGATGGCTTCCTGTGGGCATGGGGCTCATGCTGTGTGCGGGGCGTGCTGACGGCCTCCTCTCTCTCTCCAGCTGCTCAAGACTCTCTTTGGGACAAACCTGGCCTCCCAGTTTGATGGCTTGTCGTCCAACCCCAGCAAGTGCCAGGGCCGAGCCCAGCGCCTCGGCTCGTCCAGCCTGAGGCCCGGCCTGTACCACTACTGCTTCATGGCTCCCTACACCCACTTCACCCAGGCCCTGGCGGACGCCAGCCTGCGCAACATGGTGCAGGCCGAGCCGGACCACGACGCCTCCGGGTAACCCTGCCGCGGCGCTCGGGGCAGGAACGGCCACGGGGGAAACAGGGAGCAAGCAGGG